CAATATAAAATTGGAACTGTGGCCATCGTTTTTAATGTATCGCGATATTATCGAACGTCACGATAATTCCCTGGACAATAATCATGATATGATTTGTTAAATATCGCCCAACTCTATCGGAGTGTCGAAACATTGCGTCGTAAACTGTAACCTCTTCAAGTTACGTTCATTAAATTTACTAGTCAGACCTGTTTGCTTTGAACATGTTTTTCCTTGCATCAGTTTTTTTTATGCTTTTTTTTTCGGTGTTATTTTTACCCAGAAATTCAGCCAATATGTCTATGCAGCCGTATTCTGATGAAGAGCTGAACTACTTCAAGTTTGCGTCGATTGTCCTAAAGGAATTCCCAGATGCTTTGCGTAGCATCTTTGTAGACATGTGGGACACCAATGTTGCAGCAAGTTCCACCGTTTGGGATGACTCCCGTTTTGTACGCAATATACTCCACAACAATGAGGCTCCAAACACAAAAATTCCCACGAACAGCTCATTTAAAGAGTGGGACTGCACTGCACTATTTCAAGCCACTCTGTATGCAAGAACATTTGCGCTACCAGACAGCACAGGAAAGAAAAAGACGCTCGGAGAAATGTATTTAAAAGGACGAAAGCCAGCCCCTTCTCCATTCCACTCTGCAGTGACAAGCTCGAGTGGAGATGCAAATGAAACGATTGCACTTGCCATTGATCAGCTTCGTCTTTTGCGAAACACCCTTTGTCATACATCTAATAAAGTCACGTTCGATGACTATGTTAAGCACGCCAAAGATGTGTTCGCTGCTTTGAATTTTAGCACGATATCTCTGGAGAGGATTGGCAATTTGAAAGAATCGGATTTTCCTACAAAGGAAGCACAAAAAGTCAAGGAAAAAATCAATCGTCAGAAAAATGAGTACTATCTGTTTCTCCAAAGCAACGTTATAGATGAAATAAGTGGAATGAAAGATGGAATGAAAGATGGACTGAGTGAAATGAAAGATGGAATGAGTGGAATGAAAGATGGAATGAGTGGAATGAAAGATGGGATGAGTGAACTAAAAGATGGAATGAAAGATGGAATGAGTGGAATAAAAAATGGAATGAGTGGAGTGAAAGACGGAATGAAAGATGGAATGAGTGGAATAAAAGATAGAATGTGTGAAATGAAAAACGGAATTGGTGAACTGAAAGATGGAATGAAAGATGGAATGAGTGGAATGAAAGATGGAATGAGTGAAATGAAAGATGGAATGAGTGAAATGAAAGATGGAATAAGTGGAATGAAAGATGGAATAAGTGAAATGAAAGATGGAATGAGTGAAATGAATCAAAAACTGAATAGCGTCGAAGGAGTATTAACACAGACAAAAGAAACCACAGGTATGTTGTTTATGTATAATTATAGTATTATACCTCAACAATTGATTTTCCAATCGGAAAGCTGCATTTATACCATATGATCAATAATTTTATCGTTGAATTCCTTCAGCCTCATATTGATCATAAGTTGATATGCCTAGCTCCAGTGGGGGTAATAGCGAACTTAAGCAAACTTAATCTAGTACGGGGACGTGTCAAGTAACTGCCTTAAATTTTACACTTTTATAATTGTAAAGAACTACAAGATGAAGTGTGTGGAATAAAACATAAAATAAGTGGAGTGGAACATGAGGTGAAAAGAATTAATAAAAAATTAACACAGACAAAAGAAACCACAGGTATTTTGTTTATGTAATACTTTACCTTAAAAAGTGATTTTCCAGACTGATGCGCACCCATTCTCGTCCCCAGAGCAATTTTCACTCGGTCACTCGTTGAAAATTAGGCTCTGGGACAGACGACTATAGGAAGAGATCTGATTGGCTTCTCAGAGAACTGCTATTTCGCAGAAGTTGAGCAGTTTTCGCTGAGCAAAATTATTCTATCAACATATGTCAACACAAATACTTCGTTTCTTCTTAATACTTCACTGTGAAAATTCTTACGGGTGCTAAAGTGTCCCAATTCAAGAGAATGCTCTTTGGAAACTACTGCAAGTTTTCTTGCACTTCCGGTTCCGTGTGTCTCAGGGTCTAGGGAGGACGAACGCGGCCGAGAGGCCCTGGGGACGAGGATGATGCGCATGCAGTTATGAATAGAATGTATACAGTCCCTTTTGCCCCACACCCTCTCCCGTGCCAGTTCCCCAGTCCTCCCGCTGCATGGGATCGATTCCCATCCGCGCCCAAGTAAAATTTTTCTCTGATTATCCGATCGATTGTCGCGTCACACTTTGTTATCAATAAGATATCTGCAAATGGTTTTTAGTGGAAAAGAAGGTATACATTGGTATTCTTGTTTTCTTCGACTAAATGTGTACCACGCTACTAATATGCATTTCAAATCATGCATTTCTTGTCTGTTTCAAGTAAAAATGCCATATAATAAACGTTTTATTAACCTCGCTTGCTCGTTATATACAGAGAAATATCGGACCTCAGTCTTTTTCAGTGACGTAACTAGAGGGGGGTCACGGGGCCGGGCCCCCTGGCAAAATTATTGCCCCCCGCTGGGAAAACTCAAAGTTAGACTTCATGGTTAAAACACCAACCGAGGGCATTTTCCTTTCTTCTTGGTTAAAACACGCGCGCTTAATTTATATGCTCAAACTTTTCTGTGTTTGGAAATTTCCAATGTCGCGTCCTGTTGGCTCCATTTGTAGTCTCTTAATCGAAACACATAGAAAGTTTTTTCAGCTTTTAACATTTTCAGCAACTAAGGAGAATTTGGTAAATTAACTTACCATTATTCGAGGCATTCCTCTTTGATTATCAAAATAACAACAAGCAAGTTGGTCGTACGTGCAGGGTTTTACTTTATCAGCTAACCCATCTAACAAGGCAAACTTATTAAATAGGTTAATCAAGGCCGTAGCAACCAAGTGGGGGGGGGGGGGCTGCGTCCATCCCACAATAAGTGGCTCATTATATCCATGATAAACTGCAAAGAATGAAGATATTACCCATACGTTCCTGCAACCTATCCAAAATATAGTTAATTAAACACGCCTTCGCCCAGTTAGTACTACTAAATTGTAAATTTCGTACTAATACATTTTTTTCTGACCATCAGAATTCTGTCAAATCTTCCCCAAAGTTTAGGAAATGGCATTTCAGAGACTCTAAATTTAAAAATTTCCTCGGGCTTTCGGCCCTCGCTTTCAGCTCTCCCATGCAATCACTATATAAGAGTTTCTTACGGCACTGGTTAACGTATGGCTCATTGTGAATATTTTATTCCTTATATAGCGTTGTTATACCTTTGGTATTCAATTTAATGTTTGTTGTATTTGCAGTTTTACAATTAAACAAAACTAATTTGGTGTGCCTATGTGTACGTACTTTGTTTTCTTCTTTTCAGTTTTCATCTTGTTTGAAGTGCCCCCCCCCTGAATTTTTTGCGGCCCCCCCTTAACCAGAAATCCTGGCTACGCCACTGGCCTTTTTGTACAAACCTCACCCTACGGGCTCGGTCTGTACAAAAAAGTCCTCGGTCCGATATTTCTCTGTACAGACCTCGCGTTCGGTTAATAAGACGTTATTAATACGTCAAATTTGACCAGTCGACTTGTAGAATTGGTATATTCACTCGTACAAAAATACTGAAAGCTAATATCCTGCTAGTAGAGAGCCAATTCAGAATGTGGAATAGCTTAGGGACCATTTAGTACTTATGACCGGGGCTGGACTGGCAAAAAAGGGGTCGATCATGAGTTATTTTTGGCCAAAAAAGGGGGGGTCACCTAAAAATATTGGCTCAGAAGGGGAGGCAGTCCAGTTATTTTATTATAGTGGGGGAAACTTGACATGTAACGTAACGATTATTGCTACCTCAGGGAGCGAGCAAGGCAGCAAATTTAATTCATGTAGCTGGCAAAATTCTCAGTTTTAATCAATCAGTTTTAATCAGCTTATATGAAAAACAATCGAACATCTACCTTATAACTTTTGCTATGAACTTGCCATAAATTTTTGTCATGTTTTCCTGATGTACATTTTAATAAAAAAAAAAAAAGTCACGATAACGAGTGAGCAATGTGGCAACATTACGTCCAGAGCGAGTTTGGCGTATGCTATAGTATATACATGGTTTAATTTAGTAAGCACATAATGTATAGTACTTTGTAGTGCAGAAAATACACGGAAACTGAATTCTAATTTTTAAAACAGCATTTTTTTTATCAAAATACTTCTGGCCAGTCTAAAGTTTGGATTAGCAGAGTTTGTTCTGATTAAATAGTTATATTGTTAAAGCACAAGAAAATGTAGATCTGATGCCTGGTCATGTGTCTATGTATACATCGGCGGTGGTTGTGGTGGTGGTGGTGGGGGGTTACTATTTTTTAGAATTCACGTGAAGGGGTCATTGAATTTTTTTGTGATGCAGAGGTGGGGGAAAATCATTTTGTTTATTTGTTAATTGAATTTTGCCAGGCCATCCCCGGGCATAAATAATAAATAGTCCCTTTTTGTTTGGTAGTAAGATAGTTGTCTATATAATAATACTGTATGCCGCTTTCTTCATCACGTATCGATTTAGGATCATCATCCATGGATAATTTATCCCTGGAACCACAATTGGTCATTGTCCTTTAAGGTGGTTGGATATATTAATACACACAAAATCCCTTACACAAGAATCGCAAAAACAAAACGTTACGCTATATGAACAAATCCTAATATTAATCAGGAATAGGCCCAACATATATATGACCTGACGTGGAGACCTGCATGCTCACGTCATCTCGCGCAATTGTACGTGGTTATAACGCGTTCCATGTCAATTGCTCACTCATGAATTATTTCGTGCGGTGACCTATGTTGAAATTTTGCACGCTGTATTGTCTACCTCCTCCGCAGGCCTTTCAAAAATATAAAATTGGTGGGAAACGAACGGAAAGGCCTGCGGACTAATTTTCCAAAATGGCGGGAGCCACAAACCGAATTATTTACCAGAACAATATTAATTATTATTAATTTAAAGTCTTTAACTACTTCTGATTAGACCGCTTTTCGTATCCACAATATACATAAAAACAGAGAATACTGAACAAACAAGCATACAATGATTTATAAAAGAGAAGCACGTAAATATCACTGAGTTTATAATTTGCATATTACAAACACGCAGCGCTTTTACATGTAGCACGTCGTATGGTAGGTAGGTAGGTAATACTTTATTTAAAATTAACAGAAAGAAGAACACGCTAGCCCCATCAACTCTAGGCTGGTTTCCATGGGGGGCGTGTTTAGATCTTAAAAATCATTAAAAGAAAAATTTAAACCAAATATTAGTACACACATACTGTACACGTTACTATATACAAATAATTAGAAAGCATGTCGCTGTCCAACAATTGATTTAAACGAATGAGGCGACTCGGCCAATTTTGCTTCGTTTTGGAGTTGATTCCAGAGCATAGCGCCGCTATATTTAAAACTTTTTTTAAGAAATTCTCGTTTCGGTTTAGGAATTGTTAGATCAGTTGCTGTGTTTCGAAGATGATAATTAGTTTGATCTATTTCTCTTCTCACGAATGACCCCCGGAGACCTGCCGCAGTGTGGTCGTTAAGTATTTTATACATTAATACTGACTTGGCACCAGACCGCCTATTTTCAAGTGTATCCCAAGAAAGCATGTTGAGAAGATCAGCTGAGCGAGTATCATAATTAGCACCCGTTACGACTCTTGCTGCACGAGACTGAAATCTTTGCAACTTGTCTCTTAGCAACTTACCACAAGTGTCCCGAAGGGGGGAACAATAATCAAAGTAGGGCTGCACAAGACTTTTATAAATCGATACTAAGGTATGCATTGGAACAAAGGGCTTTATACGTTTCATAGCGCCAATAGCAGCGCTCGCCTTCTTGCATATCATTTCAATGTGACTATCCCAATTAAGGGTTTCATCTAGTTTTACTCCTAGGCACATTTGTGTAGCAATTCGTGATATGGGTTTTGCATTAGCCACAACGGGTTCCTCAAACATTATATTATTAAGATTATACGGGGAGCCAATAAACATCATTTTACATTTTGATGGATGCATCTGCAGCCTATTTTCTTTAAGCCAGTTACAGACATGGGCAAGATCTGAATTTAAATATACAACAAGTTCATTTGCATCGTAGGAAGATGAAAAGATTTGAGTATCATCCGCGTACATGCATGGATTAGTTGATTTCAAACAATCGGGCAAATCATTAATATATAATAGGAATAGCAGTGGTCCCAGTATAGATCCCTGGGGCACTCCACAGGTGATAATTTTATTACTAGATAATTCTCCATTAACATTACATTGCTGTTCTCTATTTGTTAAATATGACTCAAAATTTATTCCATTTATATTTGTCTTTTATACAGTGTACCCATTTGGCCAAATGATAGATTCACGACGTCTATTATCACTGTCGCTTGTGCTTGTAAAACCCTCCAATATTTGAATCTGCTCGTCGCCTTTATCGGCCATAACTGCCAAGATATATTTAGAAAATACTCGCAAAACAGGATTGGCAGACGATGTGCCATATTTTCAAGAAATTTGATCCAACCGAGTAATCGACACTATATGCCAAAAAATCGACATGTTATTCAGCTTCGTCTCAGATTTCAAATTTTAACCAGCGAACGGGCATACTGCTTACGGGTTGTATGGCCTGAGGAGGAGGTAGCTGTAGTGTATACTGCAAAAGTCTTTCAATATACCAAAAATAAAACATCTGTAATGCAAAAAATTTTTATCGAAAAAAACGAGAATTTTGGGCTGTTTTTTTTTTTAAATGACATCGCATATTTTTTGTATATTGCTTATAGTACTGTAATAGTCTATGTTGTAAGTAAAATATTCCATGACAAAAATTGGGGATCACCGTGCTTCTTTCCCAAACACACAAACCAATAGGCTATTGTAGAGTAAATTTCGTAAGCGCATGTTGCTATAGTAACGAACTCCTACTGCCCCCGGCACAGTCTAGACCTGCGATCTTTAGTTGACTGGCGGGATAGATTCCCAGGAACCGCCAACGTGCATTATGTGCATGGTTTCACTTTGCAGATTCTTCTGTCTCGGCAAATAAAAATAAAACTCTCTTCCGTCTGTCACTCGGCCCGTCCGTCTGTCAATCTTATTTTTCGTTGTTATGTTCATTTGTTTAGGCCAATGCACCACCACGGCGGATTCCGAATTCAAAGTTTTTAACGATGTTCTTTTGCTCACAGTGGACGACACGGAGTTTAACGAAGCGCAAAAAATATTAGACAATGTCGAAATACCCAGCAAGAAAGACGAAAGTGACAAAAACCGTTGCTTTGGAGAAATCGGTAGCAATAAAGTGACGCTCTTGAAAGTTCCACACTTCGGCAACACCCGCACTTCGTCAGGTCATGACGTTCTGGTTTATGAAACAATCCAAGAACTTAAACCGAAAGCTATTGTTACTCTGGGAGTTTGCGATGGTGTAAGGAAAGAAGCACACTTCCTTGGTGATGTCGTAGTGTCATCACAAGTTCACTTTCTTGAGCAACAGGATGAAGATTTGTCAAATTTTGATCGTACAACGTATGACTGCAATTTGGGATTGGTGCATTTGTTCGGCCGTGGGAAATTTGCATGGGATGGTCCTTGTGAAAATGTTGTAGTTCCAAAAGTCCATATTGGTCAGTTTAGGACAGGTTTACAAGATGGTGACGACAAAAAGGGGGATTTGCACAAAGCGGGGACAATTGGAGTAGACAAAGTGTCAAAACGTAGGTATACTAATGGAATGATTTCCTATTGGAAAACTGGTATATTGTCAGTTAGAAGCGTCGTCCCGGGTGAATTGTCTAAATCTTCCAGATCCGAGGAGAAGACGGTTGTGCAGTAAGAATAATTAAATAATCAAGTCCTATTTGTAATGAAAAGACGCAACCAATTTCATAACTAATATCATTTTAGTCAATTTACTCGTAAAAACTGTACCGATTAAAGATTTATCGGGACGTATACATACGAGCCCGCGTACATTCCGCACGGTCAGGTGAGTGCAGAAATTTTAAACACAAAATCTATATAAACGTGAAAATTTATATTATTGTCTGAGCTTTTATTTAAGATAAAGAAGAAATAAAGATTATTTACAGTTTTTATAGGTTTGAATTGAAATTTAATGTCAGAAATTACTCTCGTTCTACGCACTCGCAGTATTATAAATATTTCGCCAACACGCGTTATTTACACTATTCAAAAACGCATTATATATTCAAATAGTCAAAATGGCTGCCATTCCATCAACCTGTGAGCTTGGAATGCCAGTGCCTATAGACAGGGATCGAATCTGTAAGTTTCTAATGACAATTAGACGCCCTAATCCGAGGCTAGAGATAGTTAAAGCTCGTCAGAAAGTTAACAGAAACATGTCACCTTCGGGTAACGCTCTCGTGTGGAAGACATGGATGTCTTTGAGTTTCGATGTTTCCCTCAAATACCAAAGATAACCTCAGTTTTATCGTTTTTAGGGGTATATGCAACATGTCAGAACTCTCGAGTGCCGTGGCTGTCCTGTAAATCTATCGCAAAGTGGGAAAATGATGAAGGTCAAAATTCGACTTGGTGTCAATTTGGTGCTGCAGTTTCAGCTTCTTACATTCAACATGTGCTGAAGAGATTTTATATTCCAGACGAAGTTCAAGGTATGTACACGGTTACCAAATATATGGAGAATAATACGCACAAAAACACCTGGACTAAAATTTTTCTTGTTTAAAATTAATGGTGTTTAGAGTAACTTACTGTTCCTTGATAAATTTCCTAGTTAATTTAACCACAGTACTGGTTGTTTGGTCACCATTGTGGCTAATCTAAACAGGATTCCTGGTTCGTTTAACCAGGCTATATGGTTAAACTAACGAGATCATGTTAGGTGGATTATTAACCAGGAATATAACATTTTGAATGATTTGGTACACATATGTTTTAAAATTCCTTTCAAAACAACTTTTAAAAACTGAAAAATCGCGCCGCGTTGTCGCATTACGTCTGGTGTGGCTCGGCGGTAATACCGATTCAGCGATAATCATCACATGAGCAAGTGATAATCATCACAAGTGAGATTATTACTTTCATTAGTGACGGAAAATTAATTAAAAAAACTATTTTATATATACATGTAATATATTACACCTCAACTTTAAATTGTCCAATCAAAAAACAGCACGTGTGCCACATGACGTTATAATTTTTGTTGCATGCCCATATATGGGCATGCAACTTTCTTATAGTCTAAATTTCGTGTCGCGGTGTACCGTGTACGGGCGGTGGTAAATCACGTGACAGATTCGTAAAATACGGCAAATACCGAGTCAATAATTACGGGAAACACTCAGTATTTTAATAAAATACAAAAGAACAGTAACTCCGACTAACATTTTGTTTTGATTTATTGAATCTACGTTTCGACTAGATTGTAGTCATCTTCAGGATACATAAAGAACACTACAGGAAGAATATATATAGATTTCGCATCAAATTACGACATTATTACGGACGAGGAACGAGAAATTATTATGCACGCCAAAACATCATGTTTACACAGTTCAGGAAACTATTGGGGTAAACGGACATCATCTAGTCTCTTTGATGTTACAATGGGCAGCTTCGACGGTGCAGAATCGTGTGAACTGGTGGGTTCATATTTACTACATCTTATCACAACAAAGCATGAAAACAACTTCGGATTATATAGAGATGACGGGTTAGGAGTCATTAAAGCGACAGCGCGTGAGATAGAAAATATCAAAAAAGATTTGTGTTCCATTTTCAACAGATACGAACTCAAAATCATAATTGAAGCTAACAAGAAAATAGTCAATTTTCTTGACGTTACCCTTAATTTGTCAACCGGGAAATATCAACCATACGCCAAACCTAATAATATACCCCTTTACGTGCACAAGAAATCTAATCACCCACCTAATATCCTGCGCAATATCCCACCATCTATCAACAAACGCCTAACTGAAATATCATCCGATGAGAAATCATTTCAACGAGCCTCGCAACAATACCAGCATGCACTTGAGAATAGTGGCTATAAACACCAGTTAAAGTACAAGCACCCACTAAATCATACAACCCCTCGAACCCGAAATCGAAGACGGAATATCATTTGGTACAATCCACCATTTAGTAAACATGTATGAACACTGAATATTGGACAAACAGTTTTGAATATCATCGATGATGAATCACGCCTGTCAAAAATGCATCCAAAAGCGCCAATATGCGATACGCGGTGGGCAGCGGTTTTCGTTGCAAAAGTATTCAAAACATGTAAGTTACATGAAGTATACAGAGCGAAACTTTCAAAATGGCGGGCGAACAGAGTGGAAAATTTAGGACTATTGACGTAGTTTTACAAGAAGTTGTTTGCCATAATGCTGGAAATGATGGGAAAAGCGATGGGGCGAAGAAGATAAGGGATGCCTTGTGCACAGTGGCCGTAGAATCGGAGCTGGACTCCGACTGAAAGTCGTTCTGCCGATCTCTCAGTTGGCATATTAATAAAATGGCAATATGGCATGCTGCGGAAATTTTGGCTAGCTCCGCAATGCCCTGCATTGTTTCGGCATGAATCGAGATTATGGCTGTCAGCAATAAGTCGTCGACTCAGCGGAAAGCGGAGTATTAGACATCCATTTCATATAAACATATAAAGATATTCCCTTAGAGCTATTTTCCATGCTGGGATCAGAGATTGGTGAAAACCACTCCCGAGTATTGTGAGCCTTTTTGCTTCCTTGGGAAAAACAAAAATAATTATTTATAAACAGTAAGATTTCTCTTACTTTTATACAGCATGCTCTTAAATCAGTAAAATGTAAATACAGCAAGTAAAATATTGTTGCATTTCAGAGCATTGTCGTCTTAAGTAAGATATGATCACCACCATCTACATATAACTACAGTATATTTTTACTTTCACCCATCTCAATACACCCTTTAGGTAATTAAATCACAAATACCCCTTTGGTCCAGAAGCCGCACTCTCATAAAAAAAATAAATTCATGAACAAAAGGTTTCCTGGACAAGGAAGGAGTTGTGACATAAATATCAAAAAAGTGTATTCCAAGGAAGACAAATTTTCAAGGAATATCTTGATTTATTTCACTATAAAACAGCATTCTACAATATTGAATGAACTAGGAAATGTTTCTTTTTCTCACCTGCAATACTGATTTCATTTCTCATGACAAAAACATTTGCCAGAAATGATTTATAGCATACCACCTGCTGACAGCCATAATCATGTCACATGTTGTAACAGTGCTAAGACCCTGAATGTCATGACAACATGGCTGGGAATATGTTTGAATCTATTCATTTCTAAAAACTAGACCTTTATTACACACATTGGACACAGTTTCTTTTTTGAATGATTTTATTCATTGTTAGTGGGATATAGATAAATATGTAGACCACTGTTTGTTTATGATGCTCCTCTTGCTTGATCGCAGTGGGAATGGAACCCACGACTTTTGGTTCTCTTACCAACTTGACCCCATGCATATATGGCCCAGTTGGTAGAGCATTGGACTAGCAAACCAAAGGTCGCCGGTTCGATTCCCACCGCTGTCAAGCAAACTCTTCTGCTTGCCCGGTATGAACACACTCAAAGTAGCATCAGTACCAGTGTATGCGACACCTTATAATAATACAATGTTCTATCTATCAGGATACTAGCATGTGTATATTTTATTTCTATTAAAATTTTTCACACTGAGAACAATACAATGCTGACATTGCATTATTTGATGATTGTAGCTGAACAGCCAAATTATTCTTGCATTCCCGGGTATATTCCTGCAAAAACATGCAATAATTATAAACAATAATTATACATATTCTACAATAATTATAAACCCAATGCCCGACCCCATCACTCTGTCTCCCTGTCAGGCGCACAAATCACCATAAATTTGTTGTCCTGATGCACAAAATCTAAGAATTCAGGGATTCCCCAGAAAACCTCATCCCAATAGCATGCTGTTTAGAATTATTTCCTTTAGACAACCCTTCAGATAAATTTTTATCCAAAATTTTAATAATACACCCTTTCAATAGTTACGTCATTTGGCCTGGGAGCCTTGCACTTATGAATCGAGATCCAGGGCTCCGAGAGCAAAAAGTATGTGTGACGTAAATATCGAAAGGGTGTATTTACAGGTTACCCTTAAGAATTTGGTTAATATTCAGGCAATCCCTCAGAGAACTTCATCCCCAATAGCATGCTGTTCAGAATTATTTCCTATTTTAGACAACCCTTCGGATACATTTTTATCAAAAAATTTGATAATACATCCTTTCAATAATGACAATAATTACATCATTTGACCTGGGAGCCTTGCACTCATGAATTGTGAGCTGGGACTCCAAGAGCAAAAAGTATGTGTGACATAATAATCGAAAGGGTGTATTTACAGGTTACCTTGAAGAATTTAGTTAAAATTCAGGCAATTCCTCAGAAAACCTCATCCCCAATAACATGCTGTTCAGAATTATTTCCTATTTTAAACAACCCTTCGGATAAATTTTTATCAAAAAATTTGATAATGCATCCTTTCAATAATCACGTCATTTGGCCTGGGTGCCTTGCACTCATGAATCATGATCTGGGGCTCCAAGAGCAAAAAGTATGTGTGACGTAATAATCGAAAGGGTATATTTACAGGTTACCCTGAAGATTTTTGTTAAAATTGAGGCAATCCCTTGGAAAACCTCATCTCCAATACCATGCGGCTCAGAATTATTTCCTATTTTAGACAACCCTTCGGATGAATTTTATCCAAAATTTTAATAATACATCCTTTCAATAATTACGTCATTTGGCCTGGGAGCCTTGCACTCATGAATCATGATCTGGGGCTCCAAGGGCAAAAAGTATGTGTTACGTAATCATCGAAATGGTGTATTTACAGGTTACCCTGACAAATTTTGTTAAAATTCAGGCGACCCCTCAGAAAACCTCATCCATAGGGGTGTGTGTATATAAAATGAATGGCCCATTAGGTGAAACAATCAAATATTGAATTGTCAGACAAATTTACTGTCTTTACTTGTCAAGGTGAAAATGTTGGGTATTAATATCAAAAATGCTTTTGAAAGATTATTCATGCAGTAAACAATAAACATAAATAAATACATTCAACGAAGGGATCTTTGACTCACTGTCCAAGTGGTTAAGTAAACATTAACCTAGCAGCTGAGCCGATCGATCATGTTGAAAATATATGTATAAATACTATGATTTGACTATACCTAGAGGCATCGATTTGTTAAAATTTTGTACTAAATAAACTACCAAAACAATTAAAAGGTTCATCTTACCCTTTTATCCAATCTTTTTAACTTCTTAGCCGTTGCTCTACCCTGCTTCGTCTTGTTATCTATGGCTATAGAGCTTAACCTTTGCTGTCGCATACGCTCCCGACAATGAAGCGCTTGTATTGTGTTGCTCTTTTCCACGGCATTTTTACAATTTCATTGCACAATTATCAAAAAACAAAAAACATACGATTGTAAATGGACACTTTATCTTTCAAATCACACAATAACGAAAAAAATCAGAGCATAAACAAAAAAGATATAACTAGCCGAAATTTGTGTATTTTAGCGACTTCCTTTGAAACTTCGTAACTAGCGCGAATGCCCGGAAGAAGACCCAGCAAACTAGAATAATAATAAAGTAACCATGGCAATAATTGGGATCAAAATAATCCACAGAATCTCCTCTTTCACACTCGTATATACCTATATATTCTTACACATCCTACAAAGTACCAGAAGCAAGAGAAAAAGCGCGATTTTCAAAATTAGAATTAGTTACCAGTCTCACATTTTTTCCGCTCGGTAATTAGAAAAATAGTGGACACTTCTAATTGGCGCTTTTGGATGCATTTTTGACA